GTAATAATGAGTTTCTCTCATTTACAATGACAAACTACAGAAAACTACATTCAAGTTTTAGATACAAAGTCTACAGACTTATTAAATGCGAACTAGGGCTGGTTATATACTCTTTACAGTTACACCTTAAGGGGGGGGAAGAGTTCACAGGAGAACGCGAGCATTTTACCGCTGGAATGCTTAAAAAACACCAAATACAGAGGGACAGGTGGATAATGAAAAAAAAAGTTCATTATTTCAGACAGAGTAACCTCTCTGCTTGAGGAAACAATGATTTCTCAGTGATTTCTATCAAAACATGGAAAATCTGGGATCCTAACAGAAAAGCGAGTGGGATTTCTTTCCTCTATCATCTCCTTCCATGGGAAGAGAAACAAGAAAATACTGTGTGCAGAAAGATAAAGCAAGCGTATGAAAGGGGATATACCAAAGTGGTACATTCATCCTTTTCCCCAGTACTGCCTTTCTGGAGTTCTCCCTGTTCTAAAAACGTGCTTTTGTGCAAGCAAGACATTTTGGCTATCAGGGTGCACAAACAAGTGGCATAAACTCTAACTCAGGAAAAAGTGTCCATCTGTGAATGGGCAGAGACGACAGTTTGCAAAACTGACTCTCAAAATACTTTCAATGTATTAAATAATCAGCTCAGTCCTTTTGACGGTGTAAAAATATTACGTCTTTAGTACTTACACCTTATTTGTAATTCTACCAAATGGTCCTTTTATATTCACTGTGTCATCTGAGATTCTCATGATCAAAATGCAGAGTTAACATCCGTACTTTAAAACAGATGGCTGCAGAGAAGCACCGAAGTCCTGGAAACATCACAGCCAACCCTATGCTTATTCCAGTTCTCACCTTTTTTCTTCAGTGCTACAAAGTTTTTGCTCTATCGAGGAGAACTCTAATAATTTGGACAACATGTGTGTACTGAAGTCATACTGCAAAACAGGAGAAACTTCCTCTTGTATGGGGATTTGCTGACAGCAGTTGGAAGGTCTGGTTGCATTTTCTAAAACTATTTCAGCTCAGTATATAACCAGGTAAAATGTAAAACCCCCCAGAGTGAAAAATGCAGTATTAATACAGGATCCTTTAGCGCACTAACATTAGAAGCCACGAAAGGCACAATCCAAAGCTTCTGAAATCAGTGGGAAGACTGCTACCGATTTCAGTGACTTCTTGGATTAGGTCCTAATTGGTAAGGAGGCTGAAGCCTACAACGTACTAACGAACAACTGAAACACGCATTCAGACTGCAATATGTGCAGCTTGCGAAAGCAAAGCAAGACTTATACCATCCATCGCCTTCACCCAAATTTATGGGAACAAATTCCAGCATGTCTAATATAATTCAGTGGCATGATTCAGTATGATAATTCAGAAATTTAAGTTTATATGCACTGTACTGACATTAACATAAAATATGAAACCTTATGAACAATCAAAACAATACAGACCACTAAGGAGACACCACAGACACCATTTTAATCAACGTGCAACATAAGTAAATTATACCTCTGAAATCAAGATGCATTAGAATACATGTTGAGCTCCTTGACATTTGTCTTTCCAAGAGACCTTTGGAACACATGATCTAACTCTGGCTAAGAAAAATAGTATAAAATCTTTCAATGGGCTATCTAGTAAATTACTAAAATTCTATCCGAAAGCTGATTTTAAACTGTGTTAGGAATCTCCTGCTTTGTACCTCACCGACTAAGACCTATTACACTTCATGCCTACAGAGAAACATGAACCGGAATCGAAGCTTTCCATTATCTGGTACAGAGTACAAGATGTTAACCCACAATGGAGCCTTACTGTCTATTACTCTAGTTATACTCAGATTCATATTGTAATAAAAATGGAAGTTTCCCACTATTACTGAGCAGAAGATTAGCACTTGAGTCAGAACTCAATATGGAAATCCCAATCTTCAGAGTACTAGAGATTATCATACTTTGTTTTACTGAGGGCTGAATCCTAAAAGTTAGAGGCCCCGGAGCACCGAGCCTGCCAGTGTTTGGTAGGACTAAGCCCTCGACACATTTCATGCAACTTAATGGCATATTCATTTTTGCTGATGAGCAACATCCTAACAATCCTAAAAGTTAGAGGCCCCGGAGCACCGAGCCTGCCAGTGTTTGGTAGGACTAAGCCCTCGACACATTTCATGCAACTTAATGGCATATTCATTTTTGCTGATGAGCAACATCCTAACACATGCATTCACCTGACCTGAAAAAAAAAAGCTTTAACTGAATGCAGTTTATGCTGGACATCCTAGCATACCTAAAAGGATTGGGGAACGAGGCTACAGGATCAGAAGTGACACACCTGCTCCCTGAACCATTAAAACTCCAAAGCTCCTGACAAGAGTCATGCAACCTATGGATCAGGTATGTTATTAGACCTTTAGCATAAATAGACTGATACTGCTTCCCAGACAGATGAGAGTCGGAAATGCAGCACGTGGATCTGCAGAGCTAGAGGGAAGCAGCTTTTTGTCTACAGGAAGTTGTCCTGCAAAATTTGTCATGGAGATTGTTATGGCTAGGAAGGAAAATACCAGTGGAGATTTGAAGTAAGTGTCTCTGACACTCTTCCAGCAGCATGGACTGAGATAGCGATTACGCCATTAAGCTTCAGGCAGCTTTACATTACAGCCAATCACACTATATACTGCCGCCTGTCACGTAGGCTGCAAAAGACAAATCTTTAGAAAAACCTATGTTTAAAGTGTATACTATACATAGTTATATCTTGCATTGTCCCATCTGTACACCGGGAATTTTACTTTCTCTAAGATCTACTAAAACATCCTAATCTGCAGTATTTAATAGCAGTGGAAGTATATTATCATTTCATAGACAGCTATTTAAAAAAACAACTTACTAGAAATTACTGCTTACAGGTGATATTCCTAAGTGTCTTATTATTCAGACTAAATGCACTCTTTAAATGGGCAGAATCTGCTTTTCCTAGCATAATTAGACCACACACAAAGCAAGAACTGTTTTGTAAGATTCTTCTGCTTGGAAAAAGAATATATTGGACAATTCTAAAATGCTATTAACTTTGCAGCAATAATCATCCAGATTTGACGCATTATTATACATTTAATGCAAAATTATAGATATTTTAAATACCTTGTTAAGATTTAATATGCCAGAAAGTTTAATTTTACCATAGTTTACAGAAATTCTTTATCCAATTTTGCCTATCTTAGCCAGCTTGGAGAAAAGCCAATTCATTTCCTAAATACATTTAAACAGCAGGTTAGCATAATGCCATGGCTATTAGGATTGTTAAAAACTCACATCGATACTATGTTACCTAAAAATTCTCCTTAAGTTGTCCATAGGGCAGACAAATAGAGCATAAAAAATTGCATCTGCTGGTTTGGGGCTTCAGGTGATTACTATCTAGGTATTAAATAACCTGACACATAAGCGTGTATCTACAGACACCCTTTATACATGCACATCAGCAGAGCGGAGCTCACTATTGAACAAAGCAAACTGCGTTGCTGCCCTCGGAATAGAGCTGGAGACCGTGCTCATTCGTTACTTTGCAAAAGTGCGCAGTGAAATTCCCAGGTTTTCTTGTGCACACCTTAGTTTAGACAACACGTACACATACACATCTTTGCAGATTATATAAAGGATACTGCTTCCTGATATAAAGGACTGGTTGCCCTAAATATAGGGTGGCTGCATTACATATGAGATGTTATATATTCAGCTTAGGGCTAGTAGTGAGAACAGCAAAAAGAGAAGGTAACAAACAGCCTTCGTAGGACTGCTCTACACAAACTCCATTGGCTCAAGACTTACTTTCATGTCTCAAATTTCAAGCTTTGATGTCCAAATACTGCAAACAAACCCCACATCATGTCCAGCAGGATTAAGTTTATTTTTCATGAAAGGTTCCACATGCTCACTTAAAAGTATACTTGCTGCAAGAAAGTTTAATTTAAGAGAAAAAAAAAAGGAAAATAGGTTGCTCTTAGAAGTTTGGTCCTCCAGGATATACACCTGTTGTGACTGACCCGCAGTCACTAGCATAAAGGCCAGCCTGGTGTTAAAGCTTCCACTGAAAAAGAGCTTGCAAAAGAGCAGAAGTTACCATGTCTTGCTATTAACAGCTTACCTCTAACCACAGTCAGCATAGGAACAAGAGAATCTGTTAAGTTACAGGCCCACAAATAGAGGGACAACTCAGTAAGTCATGACCCGATTTCCCTTCCAAACAGTCCCAGAAAATGCAACCCAGACCTTCTTGTCAGAGGCACATTCTTCATGGCAATACGGGGACAGATGACGGTAAGGGATACTAAATAGCAAAGCTGGTCTGATCATCCTGCCATCCAGAGTCTGCAACGCATACAGCTACGCTCTGCTAACTTTATGTACAAACCATAGACAAACTTCGTACTTCCTAACGGGTACTATTTTTATACTGAGCTAGCAGGTATTCCTTTTTTTAAACATTTTCTTCAGCTGCTGAGGTATACGTACTGTAGAACATAAAACAACCCATACATTTCCCCAGCTACCACAATCTAAAGCTACATTAGAGTGGTCATTTTATCCAAACTATCTAACAAAATGTATATAATTCATTCTGTTAAAGTAAAAAAGACTTGCACTATAAGGATCAGGTTCTTTTCCTTCTTGACACTTAAGACTTCTGGGAATCCGACTGCTGGAAACGGTTTAGCTTCTCTGGATTATTTGATGCCATTTGAGAAAAGTCACGAAAAATGTCCTGATAAATTTCATCTCCTAGGTAGAAAAGAAAAGGGAAACGGTGTTAAACATTCACGATAGTTAACATCACCCACCATTGCACAAATGCCCTACTGCGCTACCAGTTACTGTAACACTTATTCATATATTGAGATTGCTTATAGATGGAATGATGCTGATGTGAACTCTTTGGGACACTTTACTTGCATGCACGTTCTATAGAAGCAAATTAAACAAAGCCAAACTATACCTGATAATAGTACCTCACAGGCAGCCACACAGAGGAAAATTCAGAGTTAGAAAGGAAAAACGAAAGCATTTTAAAGCAATGTAAAAAGAAAAATGTTTATTAGCTATTAAAGAATAAAATCCTTGTTTTTGCAAGGAAGTGCTAACCAAGAGTCTCTTCAGAAAAGTAGAAGTATGGCATAAAGATTTACTTGGAAACAGAGGTCAGAAGTCTTACAGCCAGACAGAACTGCCCATAAAAGAAACAATCAGCGAGCAACAGTATAAAAAAAGCAATCCTAAGTAAAGAAATTATTGTTCATTAATCCTTTTGGTCTATTACTTCAGCAAATACAAATTTTTACATGCATTACCGAACATTCATTACATCTTTTAGTTTTATCTATAAGAGTGATGATACTTTCCTTAAATATCTTTCATTCATTTTTTAATCTTCACCCTTTGTGCTTAAACACAACCCGACTACTAGTACATATTCCAAAATGAGGGATGGCAGCAATTTCCACCAGGCCTGTCTCCCTCCCCCTCCCTGTCTACACAGGAAAACACATTCAGGAATGATTACTTCTTGAGTCATTGCCAAGCCATTCTTCTGCCACTTTAAAATGGACATTTTCACATTCTTTCATCTGCTGCAGCATTTTGGGCCTTGAGTTCAGGTTTCATTTTAAAACATTAACCATACCCTATTTGCCTTCAAAGGGCATTAAATGCAGAAAACATTTGGTCCAGTCAGGAACTATGCAGCCACCCGAATTTTACTGTCTTCCCAACACAGATGACCACACAGGACACAAGATCCCAGCACTACTGTTCCTTGCTGAAAGCTTGATTAATAGCACAACAGAGATATCAACCCAAAGTCTCTCTCATCATGCAAGTTGAACATTACGATTCCCCCCCCCCCCTACC